AGAGAGAACCTCAAGCAGACTCCCTGCTGAGCAGGGACACCCCCCCCCCCAACGTGGGGCTGGATCCCATGGTCCAGATCATGACCTGAGCTGAAGGCAGAGGCTTCACCCACTGAGCCACCAGGTACCCCAGATATTGACTTTAGGATGCACGCAGGTCCTTCTCTCCCCAGACCCTGCTCTGTCTGCAGGGAGCACACGGGCAGGGCTTGGTGACAGCTGGCACCAGATGGAAGCTACACAGGTCAGCTCAGAGGGGCTTCTGCTGTCAGACTGGGACGGACTGAGCACCAAACATCGTACTGTCTGTAACAGGCTAAGTAAGAATCTGGGAGTCCTTGGTAACCGAAAGAGGGAGAGACTTGAAATTTATTTTTACGGCTACAGAATAATAATGGATTCTAGCCAAGATCATTAATTGATGTTCAAATGGAGCAGTCAGCAGAAGGTGTGGGAACAGGGTCTTCCCACAGCAGCAAACCACTGCCCACGAGTCACCTGCCCGCTGGGCAGGGGCACAGTCACTGCTGAGCCGGCCTGAGCTCACATACACCCACGAGGGACAGGATCCAGTGCACATGGCATCAACTACAAAGTCTTCCAGCTTGAGTCCAACATCCTTGGCCTCACTTCCAGTTTACAGAAAATCCAAGCGCCAGAGGAAGAAGCAAGTGACATGGGCAAGTGTCAGGCGACTGGGACGTCGTGGGCTACAGGAACCAAGCACATAAAGAAGGGTGTGGGGGGTCGCCTGGGGGCTGTTGTTATGCTCAGGGCATGATCCTGGCTCCTAGGACGAGCCCCGCATTGGGCTCCCTGCTCAGCGGGGCACTTGTCTCTCCCTCTGCCTCTCCCCCTGCCTGTGTTCTCGCTCTCAAATAAATCTTTAAAAAGAAAAGGTGAATTTTATGGTGTATAAACTCAGTAAGTTCTCAAGTTTACACTAGTGGCAAAAGTGAAAGGAGAGAGACCAGAGACACAAGAACCAGATGGGGGCCAGAGTCTGGGCCAGGCAGAGAAGGGAGTGAACGGCAGGCCTTCCAACCGTATGCGAGTCCCACCGTAACAAACCCATTCTGGGCCCAATGGGGAAAACCCGGATATGGACCAGATACTGCAGATTCTATGCATTGTGCCCCATTTTCAGAGGTGTGACAAAGGCCTTGGGTGAGCCCTGCCTTCCAGGAAGCACACTGGATCCCCTGGGAGCAGCAGTGTTCACCTTCTCCTGGGCCTTCGTCACAGATTTGCCCCGACTTTGCAGAGGGCTGATGTCTGGGAGCCTCCTCTGGACTGAGCAGCACCTCAACACCAGGAGTCACTGAACGGACCAGATGAGGCCCCAGGGGCTCACACCCCAAGCTAACCTGCTCCGACTCCCTGCTCTGCACAGGAAGCAGTCGTACAGTGTGTGCAAGTTCTCAGCACATGGAGACCACCCCCACTTCTGGCTGGGCCACGTTTCTCTGCGGGCACCCCCAGGGCCCAGACAGCCCAGATAGGAGGTAAGTGTCCGGGTCATGCGGCCAGCTCTCCAGGAGAGTCCCTTGGGGCCAAGGGAAGGCTCTGGTCACATGCTGACACATCACCCAAGTCCTGGTCGCTGGTGGGATTCCCCCTGGGAGAGTTGATAGGGGCCTAGTCTGGTTACTGCCTTGGTGGCACCGTGGTGTTGGGGTCATTGCCCGGGATTCCTGGGCTGAGCAGACACAGCCACGCACTAGGTGTGAATGGCCCAGGGAACAAGGCCTGCTCTGTCAAGGGCAGCCTCCTGGTCCCAAGCTGTACAGGACAGCGTGGTTACCCAGAGGATGGTAGAAAGGGACACAGCCAAGGACACATGGTTCTCACACCTCGGAGGACAGAATCACCCGAGGGCCTCTAAAGCGCTAACAGGCCCCCTGCAGCCACACACCTGGCCCTGCACCCAGTTCACAAGGGGCAAGGGCTCCTCATTGGACCCCATGGTTCAGGATGGGGAGACTGCAGGCTTCCAAGGACCTGGAGGGGAGGGCCCCCAACTCCTGTCCATGGCAGGATCAGGACTAGGATGATCCCCACAAGACCTGTCACTTTCATCAACAGATCAACCTTAGGCTCACCTGCTGACCTTTTCCACATGCCCCAGTTAAACCAGATCCAGGATTGTGGTCCAGAGACCTATGGAGTTCTCCCACTGGTACAGGAGGCCATAAAGGCAGCCAGCACCTCCCAAATGTCCACGCATGTTGGCTCAAACGAGGTGCCGGCACGGCTAGTACCCTCCCACTTCCATCCAGCCTTGGCTCGCTCATTCCCTGCCTCCACATACCTCCAGGAGCTTTTGGGTCAGGGGAACCAACACAAACCCACCACTGTGAGTGAAAGCTGGACTGACTCCCCCCAAACAAGGACAGACAACTGTGGTTTAGATTTTATTTCATCATCATAAACTGAACTCTGCAATCCAGCTAGACCTGGGGAAAGGAACCACGGAGCCCGCAGAACTGCAGTGAGAGTGCGGAGACTGGGCTATTTCAAGCAGGTGGGGGTGGAGGGGCGCTCTCCTGAGCTAAAGGAACGGTCTGGAAGTTCAGATAAAACAGGAGTTAGATTCATCAGATCTGTCCACAGTCGGCGATGGTGATCTTCTTGCTGGTCTTGCCATTCCTGGACCCGAAGCGCTCCATGGCTTCCACGATGTTCATGCCCTCCTTGACCTTGCCAAAGACCACATGCTTGCCGTCCAACCTGCAAGCAATGTCTAACATTAGCACCCGCCCGAGGCCAGGAGCAAGCAGCACTTCCTACCTGACCCCAGCTGACACCCACCTGACACCAAGCACTTCACTCTTCCAGCTAGGACACGGTAACGCCACAGACAACTAAGAATCTGTCTCCTAAGGTGGCGGCTCAGTGGTTGGGCATCCGCCTTCAGCTCAGATCATGATCTCAGGGTCCTGGGATCAAGTCTGTCAGGCTCCCTGCTCAATCTCTCTCAAATAAATAGACACCAATCTTACAGACCAGACCCCTAAAGACCCAACAATCCCATCCTCATCTGATAAGAGTATCATTTTCACAAGCATTTACTTTAAGTCTTTGTTAGTAAGCTGTACAGACATCGTAGGGCTTAAACTTACGACCCTGACGCTGAGCTAGCCAGGTGCCCCACAATGCCACTCAGCTGGGCACCCTGTCTGGCAGCTACAGTACCTTGCCTTCTACAGCACATGACCTAAACCTGTAAGTGCTTTGTGTCCTCCTTCTGCTATGTCAGGTGAACACAGCAGGGAAACTAGGGTGCAAGGCCTTTGCATCCCTTGGCTGTGTTCTGCCCTTACCACTCAGTCTTGGCGGTGCAGATGAAAAACTGGGAACCGTTTGTGTTGGGTCCAGCGTTGGCCATGGACAAGATGCCAGGCCCTGTGTGCTTCAGGATGAAGTTCTCGTCATCAAACTTCTCCCCATAGATGGACTTGCCGCCAGTGCCATTGTGACGCGTGAAGTCCCCACCCTGTGAGCATGAGCAAGACCCATCACTTCTGGCAACGTCGTTGGAGAACATGTAACTTATTAGCCGACTCAAAAGGTTGAGCGGAACCCCAATGATAGAAAACAGCCCTCCCAACCCTTGCTGAAATATTCCAGCTCAGCCTCCAATGACAAGCCCCCACCCCAGTCAGAACCGGTGAACTCCATACCTGGCACATAAATCCCGGGATAATTCTGTGAAAGCAGGAACCTTTGTAACCGAATCCCTTCTCTCCAGTACTCAGAGCACGAAAGTTCTCTGTTTAGAGAAAAAAGACACGTATGTTCAGATGCACTTGCGTGTTTTACAACTGGCGTTCCTTGGGAAGTTCAAGGGGAAGAGAGGGCACTAACCTGCTGTCTTTGGAACTTTGTCTGCAAACAGCTGCAAGACAAGAGCCGGGTTAACGCCGTGCGGACACGTTACACCGACAGCCGCGCCCGGGCGGCTGCTGAAACACAAACTCCTTTTCTCGGCGCTTCGAGCACTACGGAGAAACCCCCGAAACGAGGGCTCCCGGGGCCCCGTCCTCCGACTGCAGCTGCCGCCCGGGGGGGGGGGGGGCGGTCACGGCGGCGGGCGCCGCACTCCCCGACACGCGGGGACGAGGCCGCCGCGGCGGGAGCCCGCTCCGCGTGTCCCGGAAGCCGCGCGCACCGCCAGCTCCGGGAGCGGCGGGAGGGGCCGCAGGTCGCGCCACGTGCGGGGGGCCGCGTCCGCGTGCGCCGCCAGGTCCGCCGAGGCCGCCGGGGACCGTTGGGCGGGCGGGGCCCGCGGCGTCGGCGCCGAGGCGGGGGCGCCGCTCGCTTCCGCCGGGCGGGGCGGGGCCGGGCGCTTCCGCAGCGCCCCCGCCGGCCGCCCGCGCCCCGCCGCCCCCAGCAGGCGTCGCCCACCCCGGCGCGCCGCCAAGCACGTGGGCGCCGCCCCTCCCCCGCCGCCCCGCCTTTGTCCGCCGCCGCCCCTCCCCCGCCGCCCCCGGCCGCCCAAGATGGCCCCTCGTCAGGAAATGGCGCCGCGCCGCCGCGCTCCTCGGGCCAGGGCCGCCCACCCGCCCCCCGCCAGCCTCCCCACGCCCCGCCGCCGGCCCCCGCCCGCCCGGCGCGCCCGGCCGCCCACCTCGAAGGAGACGCGGCCCAAAGGCTCGCCGTCCACGGCGATGTCAAAGAACACGGTGGGGTTGACCATGGCTGGACGGCGACGGCTACTCCGGGGCGGCGGCGTCTGCAAGGCGGCACGAGCCCCGCCGCGGCCCCTTTTATAGCCGGCCGGGCCCCGCCCACACCCGGTCGCGCGCCCGGATCCTAGCCAATTGCGAGTGCGAGCCGGTCGGAGTGATGGTATGACTGGCCTATGAGAGGAGGCGGCGCCGGAGGGGAGGGACCGGGGCGCGCGTGCGCGCTGGCGGTGGAGGCTGGTTCCCGCCCGCGGGCTCCGTCGCGGTGCTGCGGCGTGGGGACCCGGTCGGGAGTGGGGTGCGGGCGGGGAGGGGGGGAACGGAGGCCAGGCGAGCCGGCGGAGCCCGAGGGGCCGCAGGAAGAGGGCGACGGCAGCTGCGGCGCGGGCGGGCCGACGCAGCGCCGCGGCCAGGGCGTGTCCCCATTGCGCAGAGGGGGCAACTGAGGCGAACGCAGGCCTCAAGGTCGCGCCGCTCGCCAAGGTCGCCCGCGCCCCTCCCGGACTGCGACCCCGCGACCCCGCGCGTGGCTGGGGGCGCCCGGTAACCGCCGGCATAGCCCCCTCCTCCAGCGCAGCCGCCTCCGTCTCGGAGGTTACGAAATGCTTCCAAAATGCCCTACTTTCCGAAAATATCTTGCACAGTCCGCTTGAATTTTGTTAGGGAGGAGGACGTTGACACGGGAGCCGGGCAGGCTCCTACCTGCAGGGACGCGGCGCGCCCTCTCGCTCTCGTCCGACCTGGGGGCGTGGGAGCGGAGCCCCGGGAGCCCCCAGCCGCCGTGCGGAGCCTGGAGCGGGGTCCGGTCCGGTCCCCCCCCCCCCCGTGCGGCGAACTGGGACCGTCCAGGGGGTCAGGTCCGGATCTCCACCCGCGCCGCCTGGAACGCCTTCTGATGCGCCCCGCGTCGCGCATCGTGCGTCCCCGCGGTGCACCTGGCGCCATGTGTGCGGGGTTTAGGGCCCCGCTGTCACCAGTGAAAGTGACGCTCGTCCCTGTGAGCATCTGCTCAGTCACCAGCGCCGGGCGTTCCCAAGGCCACACCTGGACACTGCTGCCCCCACCATCACCTGGTGCCTTGTGACCTTGAGGAAGCTCTGTGGACCCGTCTGCTGGAAGCCAAGTGCCCCAGGCCTCCCAGTGTCTACACTACCCCCTCCTCCACCCTGAGCCTTGCAGAGCTCAGAGACCCTTCCTAGGAAAGGAATGAGTGCGCGAGTGCAGAAGGAAAGCGGCCCTGTGACTTCGCTGGCGTCTGTGTAAAGTCCTGCCTCCTTTTTTTTTTTTCCCTAAGGTTTTATTTATTCATGAGAGACACAGCAGAGGGAGGAGCAGGCTCCCTGCGGGGAGCCCCATGCGGGACTCGATCCGGCACCCCGGGATCATACCCTGAGCTGAAGGTAGATACTCAGCCGTTGAGCCCCCTGGGCACCCCAAGTCCTGCCTCCTGGTAAATCTCAGTCGGGCAGCCAGGCCCAGGGTCTTGTGCTTCTTCCACACCTGCGTAGGATGCATGCACGCAGGAGAACCCACGTGCAGGGGGAGCCAGTGCGGCGGGGAAGCCTCAACCAGCTTTGTCTGTGACCTGGACTTCCTAACCGAGTGTCTCGGGAACACGGGGCCTTCCTGCCTTGTTTGGATGAATCACACTGCGGCCAACCTAACTGCGATCAACAGTGCCCTGACGTGGTTTTACACGGATGCTTCTCCCACGGGCATTTGGGGCCGCTGCGAACCTAGGGAGGAAAAACAGGTTCTTGAAAACCCTAAGAAGACAGATGACTTCGGAAGAGGGTAAGGGGCCTCTTGCGTGCCTCTCGCCCGGGACAAGGGTGGGCTTCCCGTCTTCTTCTGCTGGGACCAGTGGTGACTCCACAGTCCACTTTCCCAGGGCTCTGTCCAGGGCCACCCTTCCTGGACGCTGCCCTTGGCTCGCCTGGCCCCACGGCTCCTCCCACTTCCCTGGAGCCTGGGCTTCTCTCTCCTGGTCTCTCCACTCCTGGTCTCTCCAGCTCTGCCTCCCCGAAGCCTTTCAGATGGCTCCGTGGCAGAGTTCCGAGTTTGGTCTGGTGGCGGCCCCCCACCCCCAGCACTGTTAGCCGCCTCCATTTCCCAGGCTCAGATCACCTGGAGACTTCTAGACCAGCCTCACAGCTGCAGCTCCCCAGAGCGGCCATGGATCCTCCCCCATCCCCTGGTCCTCCTCCCCCATCCCCTGGTCCTCCTCATGGGTGAGCCGTGGGTGAGCCCATCAGAGTTCCGCCTCCACCTCCCCAGGTCTCCTCTTCCTCCCCCCATTCCTCCTCCTTCTTCTCCTTCTCAGGCCTCCTCCTCCTCCCCCCTAGACCTCCTCCTCCTCCTCCCCAGGCCTCCCCCTCCTCCTCCCCTTCCCCAGGCCTCCTCCTCCTTCTCCTCCTCCTCCCCAGGCCTCTTCCTCCTCCCCCTCCCCAGGCCGCCTCCTCCTCCTCCCCAGGCCTCCTCCTCCTTCTCAGCCTTTCCCCGCAGCTATAGCTCCTGCTTGGCCTTCTGCAGCACCTTCTTGCTTCCATTTCTGGGCCCCAGTTTTCCCAGGGGCTTCCAGAATGGTCATTTGCAGAATCACCGGAAATTGTGACTCCTGTGCTAGACTACTTGTCCAGGTTCTTGGTTGCCCACAGGACAGACGAAAGCAGCCGCTCCGTGGCCCCAAGTCAGCAGCTGTGGGCTGACAGTCCTGCTACGCAGAGCTTCTCCGAACTGCCCCCTGCATTTGCAGGGCTCTCCCTCGACCCGGGCGGTGCTTCCCCACTCCACCAGTGAGGCTCACCCCGTGCTGGGTCCTTTCCAGGACACGTTCCTTAGCGCTCTGGAGCTGGTCGCCTGTGAAGATCCTGCAGAACCAAAGCTCAGTAAAGGCGTGTTGACTGAAGGTGTAAGTGGGGTCAGCAGCACAGGTGTGCAGAACGGAAGGGCCCCCCCAGATCTGGCTGCATGGCTGCAGGTGTGTCTCCCTGGTGGGCTTGCCAGTGGGTTCCCCCACACTGGCCAGACTGGGACTGTGACCTGCTGGGACAGCCGTGGGGCCCCCTTCCCCCCCAACTCCCCGCTCTGGGTGGTCAGCCTGGCCTTGCACGCTGGGCGGGGGGCGGCTCGTGGCAGCTCCCACCCCCACGGCCGGGCTGCTGGTGGCCTTCGGCGCCCTGCCTTCCTCCCTGACCTAGTGCTGTCCGCCTGCCTCGGCCCCACCTGCCAGTCACACAGCCTCAACCGCCCTCCCCTTCCCCTCGCTCTGGGGTGGCGTCGGCAGCCGCCCAGCCTCATGCCTTACTGTCTCCTGCAAGCTGCTCCTGTCTGGGCCCCAGGACTCCTGTACCCCGGGGCGGCTGGAATTCGACCCCATGGGTGTGGAGGGGCCTCCGTAGGGCGCAGAGAGCCGCCTACCACCTAGTTTGGAGCGCACCAGCCGTGAGCAGGGACCCCCGCACTGGTGGCCCCGATGGGAGTCGGCTTAGGCACTGAAGGTCCCGGCCAGAGCCCAGCCCCTCTGAGCTGGCCACAGGGCCTACGGCAGGGGAGCCGTATTGGGTGGGCCCCGCCGTCCCCGCCCCCGGGCTGGTGGCCTGGAGAGGACACAGGGGTGCGCATGAGGCCTGGCAGTGGCGGATGCCACCGAACAGGAGGCCTTTACAGACCCAAGGTGGCGTCACCTTCAAGGATGTTTAGAGGAAGGTGATGCTGAGAAGACCTACCACTGTCTCGTGAATACATGAATAAAATATTTTTAAAAAACAAAAATAAAGCTGCAGCCCAGTGGTTTCTAAAGATCGGAGCAGATCCTGCTGCAACCTAAGTTTAGAACAGGTTCCTCACCCCAAAAAAGATCTTGTGCCCAATTTTAGTAACTCCCGCCCCCAAACAGCTTTTTTAAAAAATGTATTTTATTTATTTATTTATTTGAGACACAGAGAGAGGCAGAGACACAGGCAGAGGGAGAAGCAGGCTGTATGCAGGGAGCCCGACATGGGACTCGATCGACATGGGACTCGATCCCGGGACTCTGGGATCACACCCTGACCCCCAGGGATCCCTTGGGGAGGTTTTCTTTGTTATTTTTGGACAAATAAGTACTTTAAAAGGAAACCAAATGTATTACATTTAAAAATGCAATTGAAAAAAAAAAGAAAAAAATGCAATTGAAACGTTTGAAGATGTATTTGAACCAGTTCAAGTCTGTTAACGCTCACAAAAAGGCTAACATGGTTTATAAGCTAAAGAATTATGTTGTAGGATGACATCTTTAATAAATTAAAAATCAGCTGTTAAAAATAAAACAAACTCATGCAAGTAGCTTCCTCCATGAAAAGCCGCAGGACCCACACGGCCCTGCACCCCCGGGGTTGGCTCCTGCCGTCCCTAGGATGGCACCCCGCCACTGCCCTGCTCAGCGTCCAGGGAAGGGGAGAGAAGGAGGAGGACCATGGGAGTGATGCTGCCACTCAGTCCTGTTGTCAGCTTCCCTGGAGCTACCCAGTGCTGTCCCCCTTGGTGCCGGAGTCCAGGAAGGTGGCTGCTGGTCTGGGCCACCGCCCCCCAGCCCCCATGCTCTGCTAGTGACAGAGGCAAGAGGGGTGCTCTGGGTAGATGGCCAGCAGCAGACAGGGACTGGGTGTTCTGAGCCCGGAAAGCAGTATGTGGCACAGGGGGCATCCCACCCGCTCCGCCGGGCTGCAGGAGGACCACCGCTGCTGCCTCAGCCTTCAGAAAAGTCCTTTGTGGGCGGTGTCTGCCGAGGGGAGCCAGGATCCCTAGATTGCCCAGATTGCCAGAGGCTGGGGTGTCTGGTGCCGAATTTCCCTGACACGGGCGGGGGGAGGGGGAGGATGGGGTACAGTAACCAAAAAGGAGAGAGAGGCCTAAATTAACTCAGAATTCTAGGGACACCTGGGTGGCTCGGAGGTTGAGTGTCTGCCTTGGGCTCAGGTCATGATCCTAGGGTCCCGGGATCGAGTCCCGCATGGGTCCCTGCATAGAGCCTGCTTCTCCCTCTGCCTGTGACTCTGCCTCTCTCTATGTGTCTCATGAATAAATAAATAAAATATTAAAAAAAAAAGTTCTAGGGAAGGCCAGGTGGCATGGTCAGGGCCAGTGTGGGACTCTCCGGCAGCCCTTTGGGGTAGATGCTGATGTTTCCTCCAAGAGGAGATGAAGCCCAGCAAGGGTGAGAAACTGGAGGCCATGGCACGGCCGGCCGAGGCAGGGCTAGTGCCCGGTCCCCGGGCCTGGCCGCTGTGCCCCTCGCTGCCACACCTTGTCCTGGGAGTGAAAACCCAAGTGCGGCGCCAGCCACACGGCAACAGGTGTCCTGCCCCGCCCAACACGCCGCACAGGCCTACAGAGCAGGTTCCTGCTGTGCGCCATCCTCACCCTCCACCTCCAGAGCTTTCCCGTCTCTGGAACAGAAGCTCTGTGCCGCCCCCCCCCCAGCACGGTTCCCTGTCCTGCCCACCCCCTGCCCCCCTCCTGCCGTCCCTCAGCTGCCCGGGCACCTCCAGTAGGTGGGACCTGTGTCCCTGAGAGACGAGCTGCTTTCAGCATGTGTGCTCGGGGCCAACCATGGCAGAGCGCAGGTCAGAACGACCTTCCCTGGGGACCCCCGGGGGGGGGGGCGGCGGCGGTTTAGCGCCGCCTTCGGCCCAGGGCGTGATCCTGGGGTCCTGGGATGGAGTCCCGCGTCAGGCTCCCTGCGTGGAGCCTGCTTCTCCCTGTCCGTGTCTCTGCCTCTCTCTCTGTCTCTCGTGAATAAGTAAATAAATTAAAAAAAAAAAAAGAACGTCCTTCCTTTCTGTGACTGCGACCACCCGCCTGTGGAGCTGCAGCCCTTCATCCGTTGACAGACACTGGGGCGCTCCCATCTCAAGCGCACTGTGAGTGCAGCCGAGCCCCTGCTCTTGGCTCTTCTGGGTTCACAGCACGAAGTGGCGTCGCGGGGTCACATGGGAGTTCTCTACTTCAATTTTCGTAGGACCTGCCACACTGTCTCCAGGGCGGTGGCCGCAGTCCACCATGTGTGACAGTCCAGTCCCCTCCCCCCAACACGACACCTGCTGTTTCCTGCTTGTCCCTCTGACAGCCATCCTGGTGGGCATGCAGCACACTGCGTACCCCTGCTTTGTGTTGTCCTGGTGGGTAGCACTGCTGAGCCTCCTCTCTCGTGCTGTGGGCCATCGTGTACGTCTGTTCAAGTCCTCTGCCCGCTTCTTCCGTGGATCATTTGCTTTTTTTTATAGTTGTAGGAGTTCTTTCCACATTCTGGACATTAATCCTTTATCAGAGATGGGATTTTGCAGCTCCTTCCCCGTTCTGCGGCTACTTTCTTGTTCTGTTCGCAGGTACAGACTGGGGAGGAGTGCCAGGCACGCGCGTGGCATACGCACACCCCAACTCTTCCAATTAACATTGCTGAGCGCTCATGAGGAAGACTGGAGTCCAGACCAAGGGACCAGGGAGCTACCTGAGAGCCAGGTGTGCAGGGCCTGTGAGGACCTCAGGCTGGCCCAGGAGAGCTGCAGGAACCCACTAGACAGGCTAAGCCTGCCACCGCGCCCCACTGGGGATTTGACCAGAGAGCCAGGGCTACCCGGAGGCCCAGACACGCAAGTCTCCCTGTGTTCTGAGAGCAAGGGGAGAATGAGAGAAGCAGCATGGGTTGGTGTGGCGCATGCTAATTGCCAGGAGCGGTCCTCCAATGCTCAGGGAGGTGGAGGAGAGCTTGGGAGACCATCCTGCCGAGGCACAGGGCACAGGGCCTGCTGCCACAGACCCCGGAACCCACAGATGCCAGGCCCACTAAAGGAAGGTGTGATGCTGCTGCTGCCACTGGCAAACAGCATGTAAGGAATGTCTCAGCAAGTCCGGACGCAGCCTGCCCACAGGCCACGAGGCCTGAGCCCAGAATGGCAGCCAGCACAGGGAGGGGCGTGCCGTCTCCCAGGCCTCGGGACCACTGACTTCGACCTCTGCTTTTCTCCTATGCGCAATGCCTGGCATCCAGTCACAATCTCTCCTGCCTTCAGACGGGAACTCACACCACCAGTTCTCCTAGCTCTCCAGCTTTCTGGCTCCCCTTCCAGATCTTGGGATTTGTCGGCCTCTGCAGTCATGTGAGTTAATTCCTCATGATAAATATCTTTGTTATGTTACTATTTTTTAAAGGTTTTATTTGTTTGTTGATTAGAGACACACACAGAGAGGCAGAGACACAGGCAGAGGGAGAAACAGGCTCCATGCAGGGAGTCCAACATGGGACTCAATCCTGGGTCTCCAGGGTGACACCCTGGGCTGAAGGTAGTGTTAAACCGCTGAGCCACCCGGGCTGCCCTATGTTATGTTATATTCATTATATTAATTCCTGTAGGTGTGTGTATCTCTTACTGGCTCTCTTTGGAGAACCCTAATACAGACACCCAAAAAAACAAGATGATACAGCCTATCATCCAGAGATACAACAGTCAATAGAACCAGACCCAGAGATGTCCTGCCATAGAAAGGGGAAGGGTTTAATCCTGTTAAGTATGCAACAGGATGTGATGCAGAGGGTGGATGACAGGCATGAAGAGGCAGGAATTTCATGAGAAAGATAGAAGTAAAAAGAAGAGGCGAGTGGAGACACTGCAAAAGGAAATTATGAAACCAGAAGTAAAGATTACATGGAGATTAAGGCTTCTTGTGTGGATATAGAGTAGACTGGACTCGGCAGAGAGATGAGCCGGTGGCTTTGAGGACAGGTTTGTGGACTGGATGTCTGTCCCTCTTCAACAACTCATGTGTTGAAGCCCTACCCTCAGCATGACTCTATTTGGAGAGGAGGTCTCTGTGGAAATAGTTAAGGTTAAATGAGCCAGTGCAGATGGGGCCCTGATTCCATCAGACTAGTGTCCTTTTTTAAAAAAAATTATTTATGTATGTATTCATGAGAGATACACAGAGAGAGGCAGAGACACAGGCAGAGGGAGAAGCAGGCTCCTTGCAGGGAGCCTGATGCAGGACTCAACCCCAGGACCCAGGGATCATGCCCTGACCCAAGGGCAGATGCTCAACCGCTGAGCCACCCAGGCATCCCAGACTAGTATCCTTCTAAGAAGCCACCCCAGAGTTTGCCCACCCTCCCTTGCCCCATGCACACACCAAGGAAAGGCTGAGTGACAAGGTGGCCATCTGTGAGTCAGGAAGAGAGGCCACACCAGAAACCACATCAGCTGGAAGCTTGATCTTGGACACTTGGCTGTTGAAACCACCCAAACTGTCATGTTGTTTTAGGGATACCCAGCCGACAAAGACAAGGCAGTAGAAATGATTCGATTGAATATACAAAGGTGAGGAAGGATGGCGGGAAGTCAAACAACAGAGCATTCCAGATCTTCCAGATCTGTGAGATGCATCATTAGTCTGACCTGTATGCAGTTGGAATCCCACCAGGGCAAAGGGAGAGGAGAGAAATTTAAATCAACAATGGATGAGGATTTCCTAAAGTTAATGAAAGGTAGCAAATGGATCCATGAAGCTCAGAAACCCCAAAACAGATTTAAAAATGAACAAAGAAGGATCCCTGGGTGGCGCAGTGGTTTAGCGCCTGCCTTTGGCCCAGGGCGCGATCCTGGAGACCCGGGATCGAATCCCACGTCGGGCTCCTGGTGCATGGAGCCTGCTTCTCCCTCTGCCTGTGTCTCTGCCTCTCTCTCTCTCCCTCTGTGACTATCATAAATAAATAAAAAAATTTTAAAAATGAACAAAGAGGGGCACCTGGGGCCTCAGTCAGTTGAGCATCCAACTCTTGGTGTTGGCTCAGGTTGTGATCTCAGGGTCCTGGAATCGAGCCCCATGTTGGGCTCTGCATTTGGCAGGGAGTCTGCTTGAGGATCCTCTCTCTCCCTCTGCCTTTCCCCTGCTCATGCTTTCTCTCTC